TTAAAACGTTATATATAATATTATATATAATAATATAATAAATTAAAAACATTTATAATTATATACCTGATAGTGGTGAATGACAACGTGGTAAAGTTGGAGATGTTGTTGCAATAAAAGATTTACGATGAGCTGCTTTAGCAGTACGTCGAGGAATGTTAAAATCACGCTAAAAGAAACAACAATGATTGTCAATCATTATATTTTTAGTTATATTTTGAACATTTTAAACATAGAATATTACTAACCATATGAACTGATAAAGAAGGTGCAGATTTTCCAATTGCAGAATTCCTCATTCGAACTAGATTTGATAATTCTCCACTGACTAAAAATATTAAATGATTAATATAAATGATTAATAATTATGAAAAATAAATAGATAAATGAAATAAAATTAAATTTTATTAACCAGGTCGCACTGGAGCTTCCTTACTCTCCATTTTAGATGGAATTGGATGTTTTTGTATTTCTGCCTCAGTACTACAAGCAGATTCTTCACTTTCAGCTTGATCAAATACAAGTACTCTGGCTGAATTGCCATGAGATCGAAGACGAGGTCTACTAGGTCTATTTCTATTCTGATCCATATTTGTCCTATTGTTTTTGTCTTCAATTATTTATATTACCTAAAATTAAATAAATTGTTTAATCATTTTTATTTTTGAAAAAAATGTTGACATTAAAGAATTAAAGAAAAAAAATATTATGAATGCAAATAATAAATATATACCTGACTCAATTTGTTTTATTCACAGGAAAGAAAACAAAGCAAGAAATAAGTCTGATAAACGAGACTATCGGAAAATTCACAATCCATTCTTTCTTATAAAAGTTCGATCGAGACTGACAGTTTAAAATCGGTTGAATGCACGAGTTGGAAAAGCATTTGTGTATGCCTACACTTTTGATAGCTTAAAATGCCGTCTCACATACAATCCTTTCTTATGCTGTTGCTGCTGTATGAAAATTCATAACATATAAAAGAACAGGAAATAAATTATACTCTGGTCGATTGAAAAGGGAACTGTAGGCGATTCGAAGAATCGAAGCAGGGACCCGTTTTAAATAAGATGTATATACCTGTAGACGAAAGAGAGAGAAACAAGAGTCCAACGAAAGAACAGAAGCGGGATATAAGAGGTTCAACGAGAGAAACAAGAGAAGAAAATACACAACACTAAGCACACATAATGGATATGAACATAGCAGGAGGAAGATAAAAGATACGCGATTTACCGGGCACAACGGGCATGTCCTCTGAGGACAAGCGGCCCGGGAGTAAGCAGGTGTTGTAGTCCTGGGTCTAGAGTCGCATTTTTCTCGTCACTATAAAAATTAATTACGAAATACAGACCGACATGGGTTCTGACTCATGATGGATGTACACACATGCACATTCTCACGTATACGCATGTGCATTTATACATGGACGCACGCGCAACACTGATGCATGAAAACGCGCACAAATACACGTATCCTTGGCCACAAGTTGCACTGTAAAATCAACATCATACTCTTTATAGCGAAATATGAATGCTTTCTGATGTATTAAATATATCAATGTTTATAAAAATTTTGTTATTTGTATATTCAATATTCAATTAAATTTTTTTAATTTATGAATGAAAATTTTTTTTCATTCAGTTGGTTTTCGAAAAAAATCAGAAAAAAATTGTAAATGTTTTTTTTTCAATTCAATTCTTTTTTCGATTTTTTAAATTTTTAAATTTCTCATTTTCTGAATTAATATCCAAAAAGAAAAATTAATAATTATAAATATAGTTTTAATTATTTATATTGTTTAAAAATTAACATATATTAAATATTATAAATAAATTTTTAGATAATTAATATATTACAATTAATATATTAATTTTAATAAATCATATAAAATTTAAAGATATAAATATAAAATTCTTATGAGTGTTATTGTATTTTTAAAATTTTTATAAATAGTTTGAAATATTTTATGTCTGTAAATTATATTACAACGAAATTATTAAATATAAATGCGTTTATTATTCAATTTAAAATTAATTTGAAAATATAATTTATATGTCGATAAATTTAATATGATTATCAATATACTTACTATATTTAATCTTACTACTTAATCGATTTTGAACTAGAATCGATTGTAACCTTGTGACATTTTTAACAATACGAATATGAACTGTCAACAATGTTACGTAGTTGTTAAATTTATATTTTAAAACATAGATATAATTAGATATAAAAAATTTTCAAATTTTAATATTATACAAATATATTCATTTTTTTTTATTTGTTATGTCTTATATAATATTATAATTCGTAAATGCATCATTATTCTCTAAAAAACATTTTAAAATTAAAATTAAATATCTGTATGTCACAATTATATAAAAAAACAAGTCTTTTTTGACATATATCAATTGATATATGTCATTAACATACTGAAACTATTTAAAAAATTTAATATATATTCATATGTTTAATTTATACATATATTTTTTTAATATTATATTATTTTATTCATTTAACGCATACAAATATCATATATTATATTATTATATATTCTTTCTCCTTTTTTCCTCCAAATTTTCTTTTTTCGTTTAATTTGTTTTGTTAGTAAAATATAATCTAACCTGTGTTAAACTATTTAAAATAATTATTTTTAAAAGCTTTTGTCAAAATTTTAAAAAACTTTAAAAAGCTTATTAAAAAGTTATATTGCTATAATGATTTCATTCTTTAAATGTATTATATAAATAATGTATTTCAACTATCTTTTGCTAACAACTAGTAGAACTTTAACATATACAAGAAATAGTCTATCATATAGTACCATTTCTGGAACATTTTCTCATCAATATAAAAGGTCTGTAAAAAAATGGCAATATTTAAAGCTTCAAATATCAAATATTCATACGACTCAAAAGCTTTGTTATCCTACATCTTTAACTATATGTCTTGGTTCAATTTTATGTGGTTATTATGTAAGAAAATGGTGGTTAAAACAACCATTAATGCAACAACAAATGTATATAACATGGTTTAAGCAAAAGAGATATATATTTTATGGTATTATATTTCTTCTATGGTATAATAATTCATAGGTATTTGAAATAATATAAATATTGGATATATATATATATTTCTAGGTTCTTTGGCATTCTTATCATTTATTTTATTTATTTATTGTTTAACATGTTTTGAGAAGGATCGAATATTGAAGAAACGACGTTTTATTTTATTTGACCAAGATCTACGAATTAAAAATGCTAAAATTCTTTTTAGAGTATGTATTCAAACAATATTTGAGCAAAAATAGAATAACAATTTTTGTATATAATCATATTGTATATAATCATAAAGTTGCATGTGATAGGTAATAGTACAAAATAAAGAAAATGTAGTACCATTAAATGATCCTAAGTATACAATTGTTGGCAATGCAATAAAAAAATTAATAGATTCCAATAAAGAAATTTTTGAAGGATTGGATTGGACAGTAACTATAATTTATCGTATATTTAATATGGCATCACTTCCTAATGTTTTGATTTTACCAGTATGTAAAATAGTATATAAAATGCTATTATATATATAAAAATAAAAAAAACTTATCCTAATAGAAATATTAACTTTTTCATTAAATATTTTAGGATAGAAGTATTATTATACTTTCTGATATGTTTGATCTCATTAAAAGCAATGATCAATTAATATTTATTTTAGCCCATGAAATGTCACATGAAATGCTTCTTCATACAGTAAGTTATGTTTAATTATAAACAATATATGATATATCATAAATCTTAAATATAAAAAAAAAATATAATATTATGTAATTATAATATATTTGTTCTCAGTCAGAAACATTATCTTTTGGAATACTAAATGATATTGTAACTATTATCTTTTCATTTATAATTTGGGTTTTTTATCCAAGAAGAATAGCAGCCATACTTTGTTCAAGTTTTTATGTATTTTCTTCAATTATTTTTGCTTGGTATAGAAGATCATCTGAAATTGAAGCTGATGAAGTTGGAATGGAATTAGCTGCAAAAGTACATAATCTCTATCTGACATAATTACTCTTGCAAACATTATAATTTTTATATAAAAATTTTATATAAAAATTTTTTTTTTGTATTTTTAGACTTGTATTGATCCTAGAGAAATTTTAGTATTCTGGGAGATTATGAAAGTATTTGAAGAACTTAGTAAAGCGGATAAATTTGAAATACCATTATTTATGCATCATCCTAGCTTAAAGAAAAGAAAGAAAAGAACTATTAAACTAATGCCTAAAATTTTGAAAATAAGAAAACAAGCTAAGGTATTTATAAATTTTGATTATTTGAAATCATAATATATGACGTGAAAAATATACAAGATATTGGAAATCAAAATTAAATATAAATTCTAAATAATTAATTCTATAAGTTAAAACAAATAAAAATTGATATGTTATTGTTATTTATTAAATTATATTTAATAATAATTAAATATAATTTTACATTAAATTTTACATTAAATGAAGCGGAGATATAACGATATGGACTATATGATGGAGATGAAATTATCTTATTCTATGTTTGTCTAACACAAATTTTAATTAAAAACTTTGTTTATAATTTAATAAATAAGAAATTTTTATATACCAACTTTTACTTTTTGTTTTAACTTCTAGAGTCGATTTTCCAAAAATATCCCATATATTAATATCTTGTATAAAGTTTAAATTATTTTAGTGTCCTGAAATACCTGAAAAGGATCCTCAAGATAATTTACCACATTATATTAAGGATATCGAAAAATTTGTATTCAAAGACTCAAGAATTTTAGGCATACAGTTATAAATGAAACTATAGATTTTTTTTGTATATCCTTGTAATATGATGATTAGTCTGATGAAATAAATAATGCATTAGTCACAAATTTTATTATGATGATATATATTTTTCAGCGATAATTTTATCGTTTGTCTTCCTGTAGTTGAATAAAAATTAATGATAGTTTATAATTTTCCTTCGTGAAGCACGTTAAATTTAATTTCGTCATAAAAATTCAAAAAATGTTTATTAAAGGAATATTTTTTTTTTTTTTGGAAATTGTGTGTGGATATAATATAGACGTAGATTTTCCTATTATTTTCCGTCATGATGATATGTTTAATAATAGTTATTTTGGTTACACGGTACATTTGTATTACGAACCGGATATTGATACATCCTGGTAAATGATTTTTATTTAATATATTAAATAAAATTATTTTTTCCGATTATATTTAAAAATTTTACATATCAATTGTAAAGGTTGATAGTTGGAGCACCAAAAGGAAATTATTCTTGGTCTTCAACAAAAAGATTATCTTATTTGATCGAGCCTGGTATTGTATATCGTTGTGAAATCGAAAATTCACATTTATATCGTAGAATTGAAAATCATAAATGTCAAGAAATTAAACCAGAAAAAATTGAAAATGAAAAAGGATACATAACGCAACTCGGAATGATGATGTGGATACAGAAACAATATGGGTGGTTCGGAAGTGCAATTGCAATAGATAGAATAAATGGAATTTTAACAGTAAGAGAAATATATTAGTAACGATTGTATTTTGATAATAAAATTTTGAATGACATTTCAATTTAGGCATGTGCACCACGAACAATTGTGGCACTTTTATATAAATCTTTAGATATTAATTTGGAAACTATGCAAGGGATGTGTTACAGTGGAAAAATTTCTTCGAATACTCTGATAATCGAAGAGAAAGATCTTAAGTTTTATGGTATATGCAATTTAATTAAAATAATAATTGATTTATTGAATAATTGTATTATTTAAATCTAGATTTTATGTCAACATTTTGGTACAATCCGATACATGGTTTTTCCGTTCATTATGGATCGACAAAGGTTTGTAAATAAAATTCAAAATATTATTATTTTTTATTATCAAATAAGTAATTTAAAAAAGAATTTAGCAAAATGAAAAAAGAAAAAAGAAGAAAATAAATCGCATCATAGGAGAGCCAAAACATGAAGATTATGGAACTGTGGATATACAATATTCAAATAAAAGAATGACCGTGGAATTACCATTAAATGACGATTTATCTCAATTTGGTATGTTCTTTATAATATCAAATTAATTCTTATTTTTAATATGCAATAAAATATTTATAGGATATAGCGTTGAATCTGGTTATTTCTTTAAAAGGGATCAATTATTATTCGCAAGTGGAGCACCAGGTTGGAAGTATAAAGGCTTGGTATAACAATACCTCGAAATGTATGATAATTAAAAAAAGATTTTCGATGAACAAATTTTTTCTAGGTCGGAATAATTAATCCAGCATCGAATATATCAATCATCACGAAATTATATGGTACTCATATTGGCGAATATTTTGGAGCCAGTTTGGCTGTAGGAGATTTAAATAGAGATGGTTTGGATGATCTTCTTATTGGAGCACCCTATTGGGGAGAAGATACTGGTAGAGTATATATATATTTTGGTACATCCAAGGTAAGAAATATTTTGTAAATTTAAAAAAAAAATATTGTAATAATTATATTAATTAGACAATGAGTTCAAAGTATCAAATATTTTTTATATTGCATTATCCGGCAAATATATATTTTGTATATATTTTTAATATTTTTTTTCAGGAACAGTTTGAAATAGCTGTGATTTTACATGGAGTTACAGAAGGAGGACATTTTGGATACGCCATAGCTAGTGGTGATTTAGATGCTGATGGATTTGATGGTAATAAATTTATTTATACTTATATATATTTTAGATTTTTTAGAATTAATTTTTTATAGATGTTATTGTGGGAACACCTTGGGAAGATGATGGAGTTATTTATGTATTTAATGGGACTCCAGATTTAAAGAATATGAATTTACAAAAATCGCAACGAATCGAAGCTGTAAAATTATTTAAATATAATTCTTCACAAAGAATACTTCGATTTGGATTTTCAATATCAAAACCGATTGATATTGATAGAAACGGGTTAGAATTTATTTTGTAAATATCACAATCAACTATATATTTATTAATTTTCTACATGATATATAGATATTTGGATATCGCAATTGGAGCATACAAATCAGAGCATGCTATTATATTACGTAGCAAACCAATATGGAAAACAGAACTTTTCATTGAGACTATACCTAATATTTTGCAAAGAGATGCTAAACAATTTTTAGTCAGAATATGTCCACGATATAATATGTATGGCATGTTACACGATATTGTCTCAGATAGTAAGATGTTATACAATATGTTTTAAGATTAAATTTATTATATTTTTCAATGAAATATTTTTTTCTAGCTATAAAATTTAGGATTACAGCCATTATAGACGAACGTTATCAGCGAACTAAAGAAACAATTTTAGAAATGAAATCTTCTAATTTAAGTATTTGTCTATCTAGTGAAGTTAATATTTTGGTAACATTCAATATATTTTATATTATTTTATTATATTTTATATTAATTTTATTATATTATGTTAATGTAATATTTTTTTTAGAAAGATATACGAGATTTTATCGAGCCTATTAGTATAATTGCAAAACATGATTTTTTACACGATAACGTATCAAATGAATTTTGTAAATTTTGTCCTGTTGAAAAACACAATAAGATACAAAATGTAAAAGTTTTACTTCCTTTTAATATTGGTTGTGGGGAAGACAAAATCTGTAATTCTAATATATCTGTTACTGCAAAATTTTATAATGTAAGATATAACAATATGTGGATAATTGGTTCAAACGACATAAGTTTAAAAATTAATTTAAAAAATTATGGAGAACCTGCATATCTTACCACACTCGAATTTAAATTCCCAGAGAGAGTAATATTACGTAGTATTTTACCCTCTTGTCAAGAAGACATTTCTAAAGAAAATTTAATAGTAATTTGTGATATAGGAAATCCTATTTGGAAAGAAGAAGAGGTAAAAATTTTTAGAGTAAAATTTCAGAGATCATATTATTATATATGTTAAATATTTATTTTTTATTTATAATATAGAAAAATGTCAAATTAGATTTGGATATGAGATATTTGATTAATGGATCATTATATGACCATAAATTATATTTTTATATAACAATAAAGACTCATAGTATAAATCATGGAATGACGAGTATAATTAAAACTCTTAATTTAGTAAACGAAGTTTCTCTATCTTTACATGGGTTTGTATTATCTAGATATTAAATAATAACATGCATTTATTTTCTGCACTAATTTTATTTTTTAGAAAAGCAAATGAAGAAGCCTATTATCTAACTTTAAACGAAATTGCTCAAAATATTACTTTTCAACATACTTATCAAGTATATAAACTTGGGGCATCACCAATAGAAGTTGCGCAATTGATTGTTAAAATACCATTAGCTTTTAAAGACTTACATTTGATATACATATATAAATCTCAAGTAAGAATTTATATATTCACTTTTATAAATATAAAATATTAATATATGTACATTTTTAGTTATACATATCAGGAGAACTTTTTGAATGTTCATCAGAGACTAATTTATTAGACATTCAAGAAGAATCATCTTTAGATCAATTTGACATATCTCTGTTTTCCAATAAAATACGACAAAATAATAATCATATAATAAATGAAAAAGATCCATTTAACTCAATAGAAGAATCAGCTTTATATTTGAATAATATGAATATTAATGCTCCAAAAATATTAAATGAAAATTGGACAAATGATATTATTTACATGAATTGTTCAACTCCTTATATAAATTGTATAACTATTGTATGTGATTTAAATAAATTGAAAACATTACAAGATATTGGAAAGATGACAATTAAACTTTTTTTAAATGTTGATAAACTTAAAGGTAATCGGTCACTATTTAATTAAATATTGTAAAACATGATCATATTTTATTTATTTATATTTTTTTTAATATTTTAAGATATCTTTAGAAACAATAGAGCTATTTTAAAATATGTTACTGAGGTGAGCGCAGAAATAATAAAACCTGATAAAATGTTATATATCAATGAAACTCGGTAAATTTTTATATTATATTTGGCATTTATATTTATTATATTATTTATATTTAATATATTTGTTAGAAATAATTTGAAAATTACATTATAGATCTACAATGGAAATTGTGACATTATTTTACAATATCCCAAAAATGGAAAAGTTACAGCCATGGATTGTTCTTATCTCTATTTTAATAGGAATATTATTATTATTTATTTTTGCTGCGATTTTAGGAACGGTAAGATTTTTATTTTTTGAACATTATTATAATGTGTTTCAATATAATATTTTTCAGTTGGGTTTCTTTAAACGAAAAAAAAAACAAACTTTAACAAATCAGGAATGTAATGAAGTAAGTATTCTATATTTTGTAAAAATAAAATAAATTTTAACTAATATCTTATTAATTTTATTCAAATTTTAACTAATCTTATTCTTAATCTTATAGGTGATAGAAAATGAAACTGCGATTACAATTAACCCTGAAAACACGTGATATAACGAGTAAAAAGAACTTAAAAAATATTTAAATATATCGAATATTACGTGTATATTCTGTAAAAAGAAAATTATATTTGATAAACTTTTAATATTTATTTACATTATATTCATTATCTCCGATGAAAAACGCCCATATATGTATACAAATTTCTATTTTTATTAATTATATCTTATTGTACTTTCAATTCGTACATTGTATTCAAACATCTTAACTTGACAAAAACATATAATGTAAAAACATATCTTAAACATGTACATCAATCAGTATGTAGCTATTTACATTTTCTTTTAATTACAAACGAAAAAATAAACGCAATAATTTGCATTGCATTATAACAATATCCAGTGGATTAATTTCCCATTCCTCGCAACAATAGTAAAAAATTATTTCTTTTACTTTTTCTTTTTTTTCTTAAGAGATATTTCTTTTATATAATAAATCAAAAATTATTAGTAATATAATAGAATAAATTTCTCTCTCTTTTTTTCGAAAAACTATTAATACAAAATATTTTCATAATCTTAATAACATTTTTACAGAATGTGAGCATAAACTATTATCTTGATAATAATCAATTATTCCTATTTTATAAATTTTTAATGACGATCTGTTACATAGTAAAAAAATTCAAATTCTGTTAAACAAACTTTGTTATATTGAATATAATTTGTTTCATTGTTTAGTTTCATATTCATACTCAGATCAGTTCCATTTATCGGTTGTGTCCTTTGAAAAGACACAAAATGAAGGGGCGGTTATAGCTTTTGCTTGATCGCCATTAGCATCGCCCAAAATTTTGTTGTGGTTTTAATCCGCAAGAGCAACTAATACGGTCGAGTAAAATTCGCCTTTCTTCCGATGTTAATGTTGCTTGTTAACATTATGTGGACATTATAATTATTTGTCGTAGCATATTTCGTCGCACATCGACAGGCTTCGACAAGGAAGGGGATCAAACTTGTTTGTTAGATTCCCAATTGTCCACCAGAACTATTATCCCTTGTTCTTTTTATCTTCCCTTCTCAAAGGCAAGTCGACCATTTTCAAAAGTAAATAAATTGAACAAGATATGAGGTATAATTATTTTTGTTCTCTGGATATGCGTAGTGTAATAAGATAATATTGTTTTCTTAGAAGCGTACTATTTATGAATACCAATACATAATTTATACTCACAAGCTGTAGATTATCTGTTAAAGTGATTTACACAATTTAATGAAATTACATAACGAAGAAGGCGAATAATAACAATATATTCATGTATATAATTCGCGAGAATTCGTGTAACATGATATACCAATTTTCAAAATGACATTTGAAGCTGGCTGATTCGTGTTCTGTTTATTATCAATTAAATTCGTTTGAAAATATTTTATTATAATTTCAATACCAAATTCATAAAAAAAATTCATTGTAGATTCTTTTATATTGTAGATAGTGAATATTTTTTTTAGTGAATATTTTAATATTTTAAATATTAAAAAAATTATATAAAATTTGATAATAAATACAATCAACCAGCATGATACGAAGTGAGATATGACCTTTTTAAGATCATAAGTTTTTTCTTTAAATTGCTATTTTATAAAGTTTAATGTAAACTAGTTTGTATCAAGTACATAATGATGTTCATTTTATCTAAGATAATATAATTAAAGAAAGGCACAAACATTCTGTTTTCTAACAATTATACAGTAATGTAGATTCATCTATTTAAAAGCATTACAGCACAATCTTGCACACATTCTAGAATGAAACAAATATATTATTACATATAGATTACTCAAATCATGATATTAAATAAACATCACTATGTACATATGAAATATAATCGAACTATTAGCACGAAAAGTTTAAACATCATTTGTGTCTCTTATATTGAACTTAATGTACTCGATTTTCATATTCTGATGCAAAAATTAATATCTAAGAATATATTTGTTATAAATAATTATGAGAAATAAAAATTCGGAGCATTTTATCTTCGAGATTTTATCACAACTGGCACGAAAGTTGAAATATACAGAAAGTAAAAATTAATCGCATCGCATTAATATTTAATATTATTTTTTCCGGGAATATTAAACTTAAAAATCATCGCATTAAATCTTAACTTACAAGAGATAATTACTTGCAAAATTAAATCCATATTTAGACATCTTATTCGTTAATGATAAAAATATTCATTTTTTGACACAAAAAGAAGTTTGTTGTTAAATACAATACCATGTAAAATAAATCATTGGAATTATTTTATATTCTACAACAATCTTCTTTTTGTCTTTTGTAAATATATGTATCCATAAAGTAATTTAAGACAATTATATATATGTATATATATATATATATATATATATGTATATATATATATGTATATAATATGTGTATATATATATATATATATATATAATATAATATATATAATATACATATATATAAAGAAAAAAAAGAAAAAAAAAAAGAAAAGAAAAGGAACAAAAAAGGATACTTATGTCAATTTGCAATATATGACAAACATTATTCGTTAAAATTAATTTTTTTGTTTTAATAGAAGGAAAAAAAAATTAAAATAAAATCTGCATATCTATTCAAATTACAATATAAGACTGTATGTTTTGTAAATACATGCAGTAGAAAAGAATAATTGAAATTTCTATGAATCTTACTTTTTTCCACATGTTATTTATCCACATCTTATTTGTTAAATGCTTCTGCTGGTATTTGTCCTCGCTTGTAGAATTCTTGAAACGCTGAGAGCGCATTGTCATAATTCCATAACACTTCTTCTAAGCACTTTAAACTCCATTCTAAATTCATGTTTGTTTGTTGGCTAAGTGTCATCGTCATTTGTTGTTTTACGTCTTCAGGTAACTGTACTGACAAAGATTTTGCAGTGCCACTACTCGAAGGAGTATGTGAGCCTGGATTTGTTATTTGTGTCTCTGAATTCTGATTATTCAATTGTCTTAACTGTGTATCTGTAGGTTGACTGATATGTAATTGCTCATTTCGAATACAATAACCACTTCCTTCCGGTACTATTATAAAGGTTCGATTAAAATAACGAATAGGTTGCTCTTTTTTATCGAGTTCTTTAAATAGTCCTGTGACTGTAGTTAACATCATTCCATCCTAAAATATAAAATTGTCGCATAAAATAACAAAAAACTTGCAAATTTTATTTTTGTAGAGAAAATAAAATCTTACTGTAATTAGACTGATGTCCATTGTGAATGTGTTTAGGTAGTGAGAAGTTTGTGGCATTTCAGAAATAAATGAAACTATCGGCAAACGTCCCTGTTTCAATAACTTCTGTCTTTTGTTTGTATCATTTATTCTATACAAGTTTCTATTTTCCATTAGATATCCATTCAATCTGCAATATCCCATTTATTAATAAAATATGTTTGTTTCTAAGATAATATATATATATATAAACGTACTTATTAGTACTATGAGTGTAAGACATAGTCATACTAAAACACGCATGTTCGACATACGCATCTAACAATGGTTGACGATTTTCACTATCGAAAATGAGAAAATATTGTTGCAAAAATTGACTAGCAATTTCTTGCGCTTTTGCATTTGCAACAAACATTCTCTGAGAGGGAGGCATTTTGTTTCCTTCATCCACTACATCGAATAATATTGGTTTTGGAAGTTCCATACCATCCTAAATAAAATATTAAACGTAGTTGTTCTGAATTTTTCACAAATTAATATAATTAATATAATTATTAATAATTACATACCAGTCGCAGGAGTTTGGGAAACCGTTTCCGAACGTCGCTGTGGTCAGGAAAGAAAAGCCAGAAGCCCGGAAGCTCCAAGTTAATCGTAATAACAGAAATATTTGCCTTATTATTGAAAAGTAAAATAAAGGAAGAAATAGGGATCATTTAGAATGTAATACCAATTTTCTCATCTTATAACTTATTGAAAATAATTAAGAATGTATATAAATCAGCTATTTTCATGAAATCGGTAAGATATTTCTTATATTGTTAAAATAAATAACGTTTTCTTATACATATTTTTATTGCTTTAATTTCAAACATATTTTTGATTCATATTTAAAATTTATAATAGGTAAATATGGATTTTTAAGCTTATGCAATAATTGTTATAAGTTATTAAATCTTTCTGTTTGATCTTATGGTTGCTATTTTTATGTAATAATAATTAAATTTAATTTATGGAAACATATGGAAAATAAAAAAATTTCACTTTAAATTTGTTTAATTAATATTATCTATTTTTATTAATTAGTATTATCAATAAATATGTATAAAATAGATATACTATTTTTATCTATGCATTGTCTATCTATATCTATATCTATATCTATAGACAAAATAGATAATATTATAATCTAAATGTAAATTAAATTCTAAAAAAATATATGGGATTATAATTTTAAAAAGCATTAGTTAATATAAAAAAGAATGATAGTCATACTTCACATTTAATATATTATAAAATCATTATAAATTCAGTTATAGTAATTTTAATTGTCAAAAGATTATTTTATATTTTATTTTATTATTTTATTTCCACAAAATAATGAATATACACAATCTAAATTTATATTTAAATTTGATAAATTGGAATTTAATAGAATTTAATAGAATTTAATAGAAAATTTAGGCTAAAAATATTTAGTAATAAAGGTATTATTTATCTTATTAAAAATATATATGTAAAATTTATATTTTTTGTAACTTGAAAATTAAATTGTATAATATGTAACTTGAAAATTAAATTTGAGCAACAATTATATGTATCAGAAAAAATTATTTAAAATGATGACACATTTCAAGGCTACCAAAATCAGATGAGATATATCTTATCTTATTTCTGAATGAACAATTATCAATACATCTCTTATTTAATAATTAATCTAGTTAATATTTTGATTAATAATTTGACTTTTTTCATTTTATAATACAATATTTTAGTTATTAGCATCACAATAACTATTATTTTTGATAATCCAACTCAAACCTGAAGAATCCCATCATTGTAAAAAAGATCATACATTACCTAATGTAGTCATTTTGTCGAGATTTATACTTGTTGCATACAGGATTTCCTTCTAATTTTAGCTCTTCCAACTTTAAATCTTTAATTGTATCTATTTGATTAATATCTTTTATCTAAAAAAATAATAATAAATTATTAATTATACATTGAATTATATATCACAATTTAAATAATGAAAATACAATTTAGAAATTTTAAATTACTCACCTTGTTATCTCCTAAATATAATATTTTCAATTTTGTAAATTTTTTATCCAAAACATTTAATTTTTCGATTAATTGCAATTTATTTCCATCTAAATTTAGTGCTTCTAAATCTGGTATGTGTTCTGATACAATATCTAACACTGCTTTTAACATTACAGGTCGAAATAGTGCGCAAAAATAATCGGTAATAAGATCTATAATAAGCAAAATTATTATATCTTCTTGAATAAATTTATTTTTAAAATGTTATTTTCAATTTAACTAACCAGGATCTCTATGAAATCTTGACAAATCTAATGCATTTGTTTCATGTACATATCGTTTTGCCATTGCTTGTTTCAGTCTTTCTTTCAATTTACTATCAATTTCACATTGTGGAAATCCTGCTTTTGAAACTCTTACTTGTAATTTAAATCCATCAGTAGTTGTAATTTTACGATCAGAATCAGCTAATGCCATTGCTATTTTGTTATCATCTACATAAAAAGTGGCTTCATTTCCAACTACCTTATACTATTAACAGAATTATTTTTTATAAAATTGAATTTGTAAAATATTTTTAATTACGCAATGAATGTATTTTATGTATTTTAGATGTTTTATATTTACCATAAATGGAATAAAAGTTTCTGGTGCAATATAACTCAAAAGATTATTAATTATATAATCTTTATCATATTTATGTCCATATGGTATCTATAATCATTTGTAATACATATGTGAAATTAAATTAAATATTAAAATTTATAATTTTATATACTTACTATAATTTTATACCAATTAGAATCTCCAATAGGAAATTGTCTAATTCTAGGAGCCATCCTAAATCTTCTATGAGGCACAGGACTATTTCTTCCACGTTGTATACCTCTATTTCTTCCTGTCATGATAACTTGTCTATTATTATTATTAGAACTTGTTGCCATTTGAACATCTTCATCTAAACATGCTAATGCCAATCCTCTAGGCACATCCCTTGCTGGTCTTGCTTGTGTTTTAAATGATACTCTAGGTCTATTTCCAAGATATAAAGATCCATCATTTCTTGGTACACGATCATCATGGGCTGCACAAAATAGAAAATTAATAAGAACATGATCTATTTTAAATAAATTTACATAAATTAACATGAATTAACATTTAAATTCGTAGAAAAAAATACCGAAATAATGTTTATCGTCAAAATTTCCAGATCTTCCACCACGACCACCCCATGAAGTTTTGCTGGGTTTTCTTGGCATTTTTTATCAAATTAGGATAATAATAAAAGATCATAAATAAAGTGCAACAATCATTGCACACTTTTATAGGTTATAATATAAATGATCTTTTTATGTTATGTATACTTAATTAAATTATATTTATAATATCTATGTCAGTATCAGATGATAAAGAATTAAAAATAGTAACACATTTACTTCTTTTCTTCGCACTAAATCTATTTTAATAAAATATCAAAATTTACGTTTCATGAAGTACAGATACTTTTTCCCTTTCTATAAATCGAGAAGAAGATGGCGGGTCAACCGAAGATGTTTTAATTTACTTGCAACCAATGATAAAAAGCGCATAAAAAAGAGATATATTTAAAATTAAAAATCCTATGTATTTTTCGCAATATATTTATACGCAATATAAAAATAATTGTCAAGAAATAGACTGTAACATAAATTGTACTAAAAAATAAATATCTATTATTTTGTTTGAATTTATGATCATTTAATTTATGTGTATTATATGACTATATTTTAAGTTGGCAAGACTAATAGAAAAATGTATAAAATATATATATTGTTGTTGGTAATACCATAAAAGATCTTCACGTGATTTGCATTTTGAATTAAAAAATTTATAATTTTTATTTAATATATCTATTAAAAGTTGTGAATATAATAGAATATTATATAATATTATATAATAAAACATTAAGCAAAAATGGTAAATAATATCTAATTTATAAAATATTATATTTCTTACAGAAAATCTAAAATGCGTATTTTAGGTTATATTTTTGACATTTTACATTATAATAATTTTAATTTTAAATTATAATAATTGAATAAATTAAAATTACTTTTTCACTAATTTATAATATACAGGGAAAGAATCAAAGAACACGAAGAGTTGTTATGCAGAAATTTGCACAAATGAAAAAAATGATAAGCTTAAGGGATTCAAGAATGTAAGTAGTTTTTTAATCGATTTTGTTATTATACAAAAAATTTATTATTACATATATACATTTTATTTACAAAATATTAATTTACTATTTGTAGAAAACCTGAGCATCGTATACCACCAAAAAAAACTAAAAAAGAAGATCCTACTCAATTCAAGATAACAGAAGCGTACATATTATTATACCTTCTAAAATTAATATAAAAAAATATGAAATTTATTATTACAATATATTGCAGGCCTCAACAATCTTCTGCATTATTTTTTCAATATAACACACAATTGGGACCACCATATCATATTTTGGTAGATACAAATTTTATAAATTTCTCAATTAAAAACAAATTAGATATTATAGAAAATATGATGGAATGTCTTTATGCAAAATGTATTCCATATATAACAGATTGTGTAATAGGTGAAATGGAAAAACTAGGTCAGAAATATAGAATAGCTTTAAGGATTATGAAAGATCCTAGATTTGAAAGATTGAATTGCATGCATAAAGGTACATATGCAGATGATTGTATTATTAATAGAGTGACTCAAGTAAGTATAATTATTTCCAAAATGAATTCTATTTAACTTAATAATATTTGGCTTCAATTTCACATTTATTTAAACTTTATATTATATTATATTTTAGCACAAATGTTACATTGTTGCAACTAATGATAAAGATCTAAAGAAGAGAATACGAAAAATACCAGGTGTACCTATAATGTATGTTTCTCAACATAGGTACACCATAGAAAGAATGCCAGATGCATATGGAGCACCTAGAAAATAATTATGTTCTTAGTATTAAAATTTTTTATTGTACAGGCATATATAATAAAACATGCATTTTATAAACAATTTTTGATGAAAGTAAATGATGAATTTTTGGTGAAATGATTTTAGATATTTTTATAAAAAAAAAAAAAAAAAAAAAAAAGAAAGAAAGAGAATGAAAAAAAAAGATTTTATTTTCTTTTTTTCTTTAAAAGGTTTCTTGGTTTTAGTGACCGGCAATCGATATGGTTTGTAGTACAATTGTTTAACAACCGAAAATAAACAGGGGAGAATGTGTTACAGTTATTGTTCCGTGAAACAATGAAGCTGTTGCGTGTAACGCCCACGTAGCATACCGCAACTCGAATTTTACTGTTTTGCGAATGATGTTGTCCCGTATATAGTAACAATACGAAATAATGTTAGACAAGTGGGCGCAAAAAGCTATTTCGAATGAAGAACGGTCACCGGTGAATTTATTATGGTTGTTCCTTGCAAAATAAGTTGTAAAGAAGTTTGCAATTATTCTTTCATAGTCAAGATATCGCGGTTTGGTAAAGATCATATTGACGATCTACATAAAGAGTAATCAAATTTCTAATGAAATTGTATCTTTCTTGATAGATTGTTATACATCGTGTGTACATTGTTATACATTGTGGATATACTAATAAGATTTATGAAAATACATTGTATTATTGTGTATTACTGTGATCAAATTATTATGTTTTATAATATATTTGTAATTATATTTGTAAATTAGTTTTAAAAAAAGAATACTGCATTTATTAACACAATAGAATGATAAATAACAATTCAAATATTAATTTCGAGATAAAAATACTTTTTGCTAAAAAAATTTAACATTAAAGATTTGAAGAAATTTAATAGTAAAAAAAATTATTTCATTTATTTCATTATTATTAGATTCATATATAGAAAATGTACGATAAAATAAATCACATTGATACATTAAGAACAATTTTGTCTGATTTTTCATAATTATTATACATTACTTGAGTTTTATACTTATTTATATCTTCCATGCAATTAATTATAGTATTCGAAAAAATTGTTTTTAACGCTTCAATTCAGTAATAGAATAGATTGTAAAACTAGTCATATCATATAACTCTTGTATTATATTGTATAGTATTATTTGCACAAATATCATTTTTTTTGTTATTTTTCGGATTGTTATCTTAATACTTGGGATAACAATCCTTTTTTCTCAGGAAATTTAATATTAAAAAATCGATAAGATTTAAAAAGCATTGATTAAAAAAAATAGCTTTGCTTAATAAAAACGAAATAAAATATTAATTTCAATGCTTTGCAACAGAATATAGAAACATTTGAAATTGATTTTTCCAAATAAGGGAATCAATAATAAAAAAATATTTAAAATTTTAATTTGCTGCGGCATTTTAACGCACTCCATACATGTAAGTATTCTTTCGGAATTAGATAATAATTCCTCAAACATTCAAAAATTGTATGTACACGTGCATATTTTTGTCCATACGATATCTGTACAAAATTTTTGCTTCCGTTTGGCAAAGAAAGGAATCAAAAAGCAACAAAGAAAGAAAAAATAAGGAAAAGAATTAAGAAAGAAAGAAGTGGCGGTGAACGCATACGCGTAAATCGGGTTAGTTATCGATACGGTAATCGGCAGATACAGAGAAGAGAGGGAGGCGGAGCCGATGGTAGCCATATAGTGATAGCCGATACCCAGTAAACTAGATTAAAGGAAAACAGCGAAGATAATCTAGTTGCGCGTGTAGTTTGCGCGGCTTTATTCTTGACAAAAGAAAAAGAAGATAGGGAAGAGAGGGAAGAATGGTGGAAAGTTCGAAGGAAGCGTTCGATCGTGGTAACGGATTAGTTATAAAAGTGGCTACAGGGCCGCGGATATCGTGGTTCTAGCCCTCTCGTTCCTCCACCTCTCTTCCTCATCACCCCACACCCTTGTCATCCTAACTGCTCTTTCTCTTCCTTGCTCTCTTTCTCTTGCTCTCTCTCTCTCTCTCTCTCTCTCTCTCTCTCTTTCCTTCTCTCCCCGTTCGCTTCCTCTCCTGCTCTACGCATTATTCATCTCGACCGTTCTATCCTTGTCTCTCTAGTTCGAGCTAAGTTTTGTCTTTCTTCCTTAGCTAGCTCCATCTTTCTTTCATAGTCGGTCTCTTTCCCTGGTTCGCCCGTAAGCGGTCCTCGTTGCGAATGCTTCTCAGCGGCGGCCATCTTGCATACCTGAGCCTCCACATTGCTCGTTCCTCGAGGGCAAAAGGGAGAATATCTCAGCGCGAGACGACGCTGGGATGCGCGAGGATAGAGTCCAAGGTGGGAGGATAACGGCCGCGGGGACAGAGACGGGGAATGAGGGCGCTATGAGGGGCCCGACCACCTTCCAGAGAGGTTGGAAGGAAAGGCAAGAAAGAGACACGTAGGGCCCACGGAGGGGAATTGGCACGCTGGTGGTTGGACTAGTGTATCCTGGATGGAAAAAGGTTGACTGTCGATCTTAGTACAGACAGAGAAAGAGCAATATAGGATGGAGACACTACCGGAACGGACAAAGATGGAGAAGGGGAAGATGGAAAAAGACAGAAGTATAAGGGACAGAGGAGGGGGACTCACGAATGTTTTTCGAGACGGAGAGGAAAAGCGGTATCGATCACTGGTAAAAGAAAGATAGTCGAATCACTTCGAATCAACTGGGAGAGAGTGGAACAAGAAATGATAAAGATTGAGAGAGAAAGAGGATGATTGCTGGAACGAAATAGATAGAAAGAACTGCGAGTTTCAGAGGGATAAGGATGGAAACCTTGGTGTCTCGGAAAAGAAGGGATTGCGCATGCTTTGCTAGAAGGAGAGGAAAAATGATACCGATTGGTAGTTGGAGAGAGGGGCGACGAGAGAGAGAGAGAAAGGGGGAAAAGCGATAAGTCGTTTGAGAAAATCAAGGGAGAAAAGAGAAAGCACGAGCTCGGAAAAGGGTTTTTTAAAAATTGAGATAGAAGATGAATTCCTGTTTAAAAAAAAAAAAAAAAAAAAAAATGAAAGAAAAGAGTAGAACGAGGAAGAAAAGATATTAGAGGTTAGACTAAGACGAAAGATTAAAGAATTGTGCAGAATCGAAACAAGAGGAAAGATATTGATAAAAGCGTTAAGCAAAGGGAGGGAGCGAGAAAGAAACGAGAGAGAAAGATTAAAGGAAAGCTTTCGAACGATGGTCGAAGAAAGAAAGAGGGAGTCGAAGACTTCGAAGAAAGAGAAAAAGTGATATCGATGGAAGGTGTGCTTACGCGGGGGAAAGAAGGGAGGGAGTAAATGGTAAGAAAGGAGAGAGGAATGAGGTAAGAGCGAGAGAAACGGAAGCATACGTTGGGCCTGATGGATCGGAGAGGGACGGCGTCAGCCAGGCCCGAAGAATGCTTCTCCCGGCAGTGGCAAGGTTCTGGGACCGTCTCGGTTCAGTCGAGTCAGGTCAGTCCTCGGGAAGGTGATATTATTCGTCGTTGTACGTCGAAGGGGCCTTACATCGCCGCGTTCACGGCCCACGTTACTCTTTTTCGCTCTCTTCTTCGCTACATGTGTGCGCGCGTGTTTCTTTTCTTCTTCTTCTTCTTTTCCTTTCATTCCGTTTTCCGTTTATTTCCCTTCCATTTCATCCTGGCTGGACGTACGCCGCGCGTCGCGTCTCTTTCTTTTTTGCGTTCTTTTTCGCTGTACATTTTTTTCATCCCTTAGAATATAAAAGTGCAAAAGTACGTGGGGGAGACACGCGAGAGGAATGATCGATACGAGTGAAAATTCCACTGAACTACGATTACGATTCGACGACAATTGAGTTTTCAGGACGTGTCCGATTGCCTATCATTAAAACCTTATCGACACGTGTCGGTAAAGAATCCATGCATCTCGCAGACTGATGCATCGAATAAACAACAATTGCCATCATCATCATCATCCATAAATTTGGTTTATATATCGTTTACCATCGACGCGTTTGTTTTGTGCGCCTTTAGATAAAATGTCCTCCTCGTGTCGTTAGTGGTGTGTTTCGAATCAACTTTGGATCCCTGATTTTATAACAGAATCGATATCGAAGTGATACTCGACGACGAGGAAACTTTCTTTCGATCGATATTTTTAATAAAGAGTGTCGTGCGAAGAGGGAAAAGCCGGTATAACGTCCGATGAAAAGCTGTGGGAACCGCTTGAGGATCGCGCGTGGTAATAACGTCGTGTTTGTGACAGAAAGGAACGCGAGGGAGCAGCGACCGCGGACATCGTCGCGAACCGTAGCGACGTCGCGCGAAAAATCTTTATCTTCGACAACAACAAGCGATGCCATCGCATTCATTGATCCGTGTGTCCGTGAATCGATGTTAATTTCAAGGGATTGAATTAAGATCAAGGATTGAAAAGTGAAAGAAAAAAAGAAAAAAAGAGAAAAAAGAAAAAGGAGAAAAAAGAAAAATATCAAAGATCGAGAGACGAGCAGCATCCACGAAGTTTTGCGAGGCGCGGCTCTGCGGGTCAGTGCCCCCTCTGTCGGCTCGTGTTCACTTGACTTTCTGCGGCAACGAGCAAAAAGGATCGAATAAAAAAGAAAACGCCCACACCTTCGAGGCATCCTTAATCCGATTTCGAGTCCGAGAGTCCGGTTAAAACGTAGCCCGAATTCGAAAGAAAAAAAACTTTCTGCGGGGAAGCAGACGGGCGGAAAAGGAAGAGGGGGGGGGGGAAAAAGGAGGAAAGCGAGAAAGAGATCGAAAGAGATGGAATCCACAATAAACGATTCGAACAATCGGTTGGCTGATACGTGTTGATATTTCTTTCCTCCGCTGTTTCACCGTGCCATGATGTCGAGCGTGCGAACGTGAGGAAGCGCGTGGGGACAGGGAAAGATGAAATCGCGACCGACGATGAAGAAGAAGAACGAGAGGTAGTGTCAAAGGATACTTTTATGTCGTCGGAGCGAAAAGAATTTGGCTAAGGAAGGGGGCGCGTTCGAAGGGACAGAAGAAGAGATGATCATTCGAGGATCGATGGTCCTAGCCCTGGTCCTGGGACTGTTGTCGGTGGACCAAAATGGCGGCCAACCGAACGAGAAACACGCGTCCGAATATTTTTCCCGCAAACCGCCTCAAAGGGTGACGCGGCTAGTCCCACGACGCTCGCCTATGTTACCTCAGGACGGTGGTGCGATGGGGCTTGCGATGCAGAGTCGGGCGGTCGATACCAGAGTTCAACTGGAGGTCAGGGAAGGCGAGCCGAAGGGGACTCTGGTCGGCCTGATACCGGTTAAGCCTGGATTCACGTACAGATTTAACGAGCCACCCCAGGAATTCGTGCTCGATCCGGAAACCGGCAAGATCAAAACGGCCAAAGTTCTCGACAGGGAAGCGTTGAGCAGCGATAGGTTCGACCTGGTCGTCCTCTCGAGCCAGCCAACTTATCCGATCGAGGTAAGGATCCTTGTGCTGGATATCAACGACAACGACCCGGAATTTCCAGAATCGAGCATAGCCGTCAGTTTTTCCGAGTCGGCGGTGGTTGGCACGAAATTATTGTTGGACGCCGCCACCGATAAGGATACGCTCGAGAACGGTGTCGTCGACGATTACTTCATCGTGGATGGGAACACAGATGGGAAATTTCGTTTGGAGGTGACCGGGAATCCGACCGGTGAGACAACCTATTTGCATCTGGAGACGACTGGTAAATTGGATCGGGAGCAGGTAGAATTTTACTCGTTGAACGTTTGCGCGAGGGACAGGGGTCAACCACCGAGGCTCGGTTACCTTCTCGTGAACGTAACCGTGTTGGACGTGAACGACAACCCTCCGATATTCCAGCAGAGCGATTACGTGGTCGCTCTGAACGAGAGTGCCCCAATAGGGACCAAAGTGTTGACGGTTCACGCGACGGACAAGGATTCCGAGGACAACTCGAAGCTCACGTATTATCTACCTGATACCGAAACGCAGTTCACTATAGATCCCGATACGGGGACCGTGACGACGATCGAGCCTTTGGATTGCCCGCAGCAGAGCTGCACGGGCGCAGCGCGTCTAGGCGACGGTTGTCTAAAGAGCTGCGTCATAACGGTCTTTGCTCGAGATCACGGCTCGCCCAGGCAGGATGGCCGGACCTACGTAACGGTGAATCTATTGGACGCGAACGACCACGATCCTGAAATAAAGTTCAGCTATTTCCCGATCACGCCCGGCTACGCGACCGTGGACGAGAACGCCGTCAAAGATTCGATCGTGGCCGCGATCACGGTGATCGACAACGACGAGGGATCGAACGGCGAGACGAGCGTAGAAATTCGCGCTGGCAACGAACTGGGCCACTTCAGATTGCAAACAGCTGCGACGTTCGACGTCGTCCGCGTGAACGGTGGACTCGACCGCGAGGAAATACCGAAATATAATCTGACAGTGGTCGCGACCGATAAAGGAACGCCGCCCCGTTCGGCAACCGCCTATCTAGTGATCCACGTGAACGACGTTAACGACCACGAGCCGGTCTTCCAGCAGAGCGAATACTCGGCGGTACTCTCGGAACTCTCGCCCATCGGCAGCTTCGTGGCCAGCATTTCCGCCACGGACGCCGATTCAGGACTGAACGCGAGAATTTATTACGAATTGGACTCGGGCAACGAGCAAGGTTGGTTCGCGATCGACCAGGACACCGGTTTGGTCACCACCGTCGCCACCCTCGACAGGGAGGTGCAGGGGAGCATAGAGTTGCACGTGTCCGCGAGGGACGGTGGCCCGAGCCCGAAATACGCGTCCACTCACCTCAAGGTGACGATTCTGGACGAGAACGACGAGGCGCCCAGATTCTCGCAAAACCAGGTCCAAGTCACATTGTCGGAAAACACCCCGCCTCAGAGCCTGGTTGCCACGTTGACGGCGGTGGACAACGATCAAGGGACGAACGGGAGCGTCGCGTACACCTTTCACTCGAGCGTGACACGGGATTACCCGAAAACGTTCGCGTTGGACGGGCTCACCGGCCAATTGACCACGAAGGCGCACCTCGATCGCGAGACGATCGGGGAATATCGGATCCTGGTGATCGCCAAGGACCAAGGTACACCGCCCCAATCGTCCACGGCAACGGTGACGTTAACGTTGAAAGACGTGAACGACAACTCGCCGGTTTTCTATCCGTGGAGATATTTGATGGCCGTGGCTGAGGACGCCCCGCCAGGCACCTCGGTTGGAAAGGTGATGGCGAGCGACGCAGACGCCAGGGAGAACGCCCAGGTTAGATACTCGTTGGAGTCGGGCGGCGAGGGACTTTTCGCGGTCGACGAGAGGACCGGCGAGATTACTCTTCAAGGCTCGTTGAGGGCCGCCCACAAAACGCTCTACGAATTGAACGTATCCGCCAAGGATACAGGGGACAGATTCGCGGTGAGGAACGCTCTGGTCGAGATTATACGGGAGGAAGATCTGGAACGCTTGGAGTTCGACACTTACAACGGTTACGAGTTCAGGATAGCCGAGGACAGGGGGGAATGCGGCACCGTGGCGAATATGTTTTCCAGGGACGTGGGCACCGTTCAAGTAACCCAATACGGAAACTCGAAGATCTCGTACGCTATAGTGTACGGCGATCAGAAGGGTAGTTTTAAGATAGACGAGAGCAGCGGGACGATCACCACTTCCGGCTGCTTGGATCGGGAACAAGTGGCCTATTACAGCTTGCAATTATCGGCCAGGGCTGGACTCGCTTACGGGCAAACGTCTGTGAACATCACCGTGGTGGACGTGAACGACAACCCGCCGAGATTTCCCAAAGGCGAGATCGGGGACGAAGTGTTTCTGAGGGAGAACGCGGCCGTTGGACAGGAGGTGTGCCTGGCACGGGCGAGGGACAGGGACGCCAGCGCGAACGCGAGGATCGTTTATTCGTTGACCCATAACCCCGGGGAACAGTTCAGAGTTGCGGAAAATTCCGGGATCATTTACCTGGACAAACCGATCCGTGCCGCGCCAGGGACGGTTTTGCACTTGGAGGTGACCGCTACGGATTCCGGGAATCCCCCGTTGTCGGCCCAGCACCAAGTCAGGGTCACCGTCGAAGACGTGAACGATCACACGCCGGTGTTCAAGCTGACCAGCTACGAGACGTCCCTGCCGGAATCGACCCCGGTCAACGATAGATTCTTCTCTCTGACGGCCGCAGATGTCGATCTCGGGGCCAACGGCCGTGTCTTGTACAGCGTCACAGACGGAAATACCGAGAATCGCTTTGGTATATTCCCGGACGGCCAGTTGTACGTGAAGAACGTCCTCGACCGCGAGGAGCAGGATTATTACGCGCTCGAGGTAACGGCGACCGATCAAGGAAACCCCTCTAGAAGCTCGGTAGTCCCGGTGGTCGTTCACATAATCGACGAAAACGACAACGCGCCGGAATTCACCAATTCGAGCTTCGTCCTCCACCTACGCGAGAACGAGCCACCGGACACGTTCGTTGGAAAATTATTGGCCACGGATCGGGACGTGGGTCGCAACGCTGATCTCGTGTTCTCCCTTCCTGCCAGCCAACAGGACTTCACCGTCGATCCCAGGAACGGTTTCATCAAATCCCTACGAGTGTTCGACAGGGAACTGTTGGTGACCAATACGGGCAGCAGCTACGTCACTTTGGAGGCCACCGTCACCGACAACGGGGTCAATCGTCTCCGCGACCGAGTCAAGGTCGTTATTTACATCACCGACGTGAACGACAATATCCCCCAATTTCAAAGGTTGCCGTACAGGGTGCAGGTGAACGAGGGTGCCGCGATCGGTACCCAACTGTTGAGGGTCTACACGACGGACGCCGACGAGGGGTTGAACGGGGACGTGTTCTACTCGCTGGAGGACGGGAATCAATACGGTCGATTCGCCATAGACGAGGCGACCGGTCAAATATCCCTGACCAAAGAATTGGATCGCGAGACCATGGACAGTTACGTGTTGACCGTTGTCGCGCACGACGCTGGCCTAGAGACCCGCCTCTCTTCCAGCACGACCGTGTACATCGAGGTGCTCGATGAGAACGATAACGTGCCTCTGTTCGTCGACGATAAATCGAGGATCTCCGTTCTCGAAACTACCCCGACCAACACTGAATTGGTCAGGTTCGAAGCAACGGATAACGATCTTGGCCCTAATAGCGAGCTGGCCTTCGCCATATCCGCTGGGAACCGGAGGGACACCTTTTACATCGATCCCCTGACAGGGACGTTGTATCTGAGAAAGCCGCTCGATTACGAGGAACTGGAAAAGTATACTTTGAATGTGACTTGCAGCGACGGGGGTCACCCGAGGTTGAGCTCGGTGACCACGTTGATCGTCGAGGTGATCGACGCCAACGACAATCCGCCGGTATTTCCTAATACAGCTATAGCGAGACAAATTAGAGAGGGTATTCTGGTGCACACGCCTATAGTAACCATCACGGCCGAAGATCCCGACTCGAACGAGAACGGGATAGTCACTTATTCCATAGCCAGCCAAGATCCCGAGGATCAAGTTCGTAGATTCGGTATAAACCCTTCTACGGGGGTGATACACACGTTGCTGCCGATCGACCGGGAAGAGGTGGACACGTACAAGTTGGTGGTGGTGGCCACGGACAGCGCTCAACCGTCGAGCGCCCGGCTGTCCGCTGAAAAGTTGGTGATCGTTATCGTGGAGGACATCAACGACAACGCGCCTATTTTCGTCAGCATGTCCGCCGTTGTGCTCCCGCTCAAGGGGAATTATCAGTATCAGAAGGAGATCACGGTGACCCGATTGGTCGCCAGGGATCTCGATTCGAGCACGAACGGTTTGGTTACGTACGAGTTGCTCAGATCGAGCGTGAATTATTCGGATATGTTTCGAATACACCGGAACACGGGCCACTTGACGATAAGATTGCCGCGATCCATCAAGAACAATTTGGAACGGGTCTCGAAATACCAAGTTGGGATCCGCGCCACGGACGAGGCCGTTCAAGCGGAACGGAGATCCACGGAGATCTATTTGACCCTGATAGTGCCCGGGGAGGACGGGGACGATCAACCAATATGGGAGCATCGAGGGCAGATAGAGGGTAGCGTGTACGAGAACGAGCCGATAGGTACGAGTATTTTGAGAGTGAGTGCCCGAAGTCGTAGATCGAATATCGATCTTGAATATTACGTGACGAACGTGACCGCTGGTAGCGGCGGTCCACAGGTCGACAGATTGTTCGACGTCGACGCGAAGACAGGTATATTGTCGACGGCTGCCGCGCTGGACAGGGAAACAGGAATCCAGTGGTACGAGGTGGAGCTATACGCCATCGGTGTTGGTGGTACCAGGCCCAGTACGACGTCCACCAAAGTAAGTTCACGTCTTTGATTGATCATCCCGGTGATATTAATGATCCGCTGCGTTCTGAAAGTCATTCGCCGCTTTTTGTCGAGCGGATTCGTTCTTTCCTCTCTCGCGCGCAGTTTCTTTCTTTCTTTCTTTCTTTCTTTCTTTCTTTCTTTCTTTCTTTCTGCCTTTCTCCTGGGTAGAGAAATTCTAACTTCTTTTTCCTTTTCATCCCCCTTCTCTGCAAAATTTCATTCGTCTTCAAAATCTTTCGTTTTGTTCCATTCCAATAATTTACAGCAGTTTCGTTGGTAAAAGTGAACGAGAAAGAGAGAGAGAGAGAGAAGGGAAGAAAGTGAAATTTACATTAGAGGTAAACATTATCGATAATGAGAGTAGTTTCCAAGCTGAGAACTCCTTGACGGAATCTCAATCCAATAAAAAAAGGAAATGATCCTCGAGTGAAGCTCGATGAACGAGGTTTATCCGAAAGACTCGTTCATCACCAGCGAAACACGATTGCATAGATTTATTAACCCACCACGTTAAGACGCGTTACAGGCTTCCTGTCTTACGATACGGTGAGCACGACAATTCGTCTAGTTGGGAATCGCGTTACGTAACGAAATGATCTTAAGGTAATTAGGGTCAACGATAGAGAATCACACCGAAGAATCTGGGAGCAGAAACAATGCGATTGACGGTGAATAAGAAGAGAGAGAGAAAGACAGAGAGAGAGAGAGAAAGAGAGAGTGAAGAAGTAATAGGGGTCTGAAAGATCCCTACAGATCGAATTAATTGTACCGTTGGTAGGGGAAATCGATCATGTGTATACTTTCTTTCGGCTATTATTCCCTCGCGACGAATAAATGCGAATCGTAATACGCGAAACTAACACTCTTCCTCGAATCCATCCCGTTAAAGAATTCATTTTGAATCGAAGATGAGTAAAAGAAATGGCCGAGACGAGCCGATAGAACATTTTTCACCGAAAATTAACCGTAGAATTTCTAGTTACACTAGTGTAAAATTTCGGGCTGAGAGAGAACCAGTGGAGTATAAAAGGAATAGAAATAGTTGTCGTAGCGGGACAGGGGCACGTGTTCCTACCGCGGGACCATCCCTTGATCCAACATTGCCGGCGACTATCTTCGTGATATACATATATGTAAACACATACATGCATATATATATATACATATACATATATATATACACGAACGCACACCCGCGCGTTTACACACATCCATAGCGGGGATGATCCAGCAAAAGCGAAAGGACGAAAAGAGAGTGGAAGATGGGAGAGAGAGGGAGAGAGCGAAAGAGGTAGAAAGAGGTGGCTGGAGAGTGGGAGAGAATAAACGACAAGATGAACCGCGTGCCAGGAAATCAAGTTGGATTCGAGTCGGAGCTGCTGGTGCTGCTGGCTGCCTCTCTGCCGGAGGTTCAGAACTCGAGAAAAACTTGATCTCGGGTGAACGCATACAAACAGCCGGACGTAGGTAAAAGTCGGTCCATCTTTACCCCCGGTGCGACTGCTGCTGCTGGTCGTTGCTGCTGCCGCCACTGCTGCTGCTTCATTTCTGAACATTCTCTCCCCCACCCCGGTCTTTCCCTATATCTCTCGCTGAGGCACACTCCTCCTTCCCTGGAGGAGTGCCCGCGCTCCCAGTTTCGGATCTTGCTTCTTCCTATCTTCCGTTTCTTCCGTCTGTCCCCGTCTTCGTCGTTTCGCTCGGCCCTGCCTTTATCGCTCGCTGTGGGATCTGTGACTCTTCGGGAACCGAGTGCAGTTCGGACGTTTTTGTTCCAGACCCGACTTTTGTTCTCTCTTCGGCTCTCCCCTCGTCTCTCCTTCCTCCTCTCTCTTCTCTTCCTCCCTTTCTCCCTTTCGTCCTCCCCTCTCTCTCTCTCTCTCTCTCTCTCTCAGCCTTTCTTCGCTCTCTCCCTCCGTTCATTTTCTCCGCCGATTTCTGCGCCGGCTTGCAACCTTGCACGGGGCCCGACAATTCTTTTTCTTCGCTCGACCATCGACTTTCGTATCATCGACTTTTTGCACAGGCTGCACCGAGGATGAAAGCGAGGATATATTCGTACCCGATGTCGTCTCGGATCGCTTGGCATTTTTGTCAAATCTCACCGCGCCCGGTCAATTAGAACATTCCTCGAGGAGCCAGGTAATTGTATTTGCATCGTGGAAGCGGCACGCTTCCTCCTCGAAATTTCCATGGAAAAATTAACACCAGTTTCCTCCCTTCTTCGACCGAGGATCAAGGAAAGGTTGGTCGCTCGAACGATGATGCCGTTCGGATCGTTCGTCGACCATGATCAGCTCGTTGACGATTTTCATTAGCGTGCCACTTTGTGTATACATCAGGAACCGACGAAGTGGAAGAAAACGAAAGAAAGAAAGAAAGAAAGATAAAGTTACGAGGATCATCTGTTCGATAGGAACGCGCGCGCGAGTATTATTCAATTTCCTTCGTTAAGATCGCGATGTTAACGAGCTTAATTACCGATATTAAACTTACTTTTGGACTTGTACTCGTAATATCGTGTTATTAACGCGATGCCGTAATAATCATCAGCGTATAGTATCTGTTTAAGAAAGGACTAACGATATGAAAACAATTAACGGTAAATTAAAATCTTCGTGTCTCACCGTTCAAATTACCGATATTCTTTCGATTATGAATTCTTTTCGAAATCATCTCTTATCTTCATCTCTTTAAATTTCTTTTTCCCTTTTTCGAATCCTCGAACGAGAGATTCCCTCGACAAATTCCCTTTGATTAATAAAGTCTCTTCGACGAAATCATTATCGTTTTTTTATCTAAACTTTTTTCAAAAAAATAAGGGTTTAGATAAGGGAGAAGTAAGTTCGGCGGATTTTCGGTTGATTGAAGTTTGATCGAATGGAAAAATTTCGAATTTCAATGGGAACATGATAATTCTCGCGCGACAAAATGGGGTAAAACACGGATAAATAAAATAAGTGGCACGCGGTTTGATTTAAGAAAGTGGCTTTAACGTGATCTTGATGTATGGGCGCGTGAGCCACGGAGGAACGGCAAACCCACACACGTTCGCGCGCTAATGGTGGGTCCAAAGAGCTCGTGCGAAATGTAGGCGTAATGTTTCCTTCGTCTTTTTCATTTTTTTTTTCACTCTCTCTCTCTCTCTCTCTCTCTTACTCTCCTCTTTTCCTTTCTTCTTCCTCCTCCTCCCGCCACGTTAGATAAATATATCTGGAGTAAAGCACGCGCTCGCGCGCGTAGCATACCGGTCGTATGGCCAGAGAATTTAATAATAGTCGATGATAATTATGTCGGTGTCCGATTAATAGCGCTCGTTTAACCGCGATAAACCGTCAATTAACTACGCCGACTTTTTCGTCCTTTCTGAAATATGGCCGCGTAATAACGTATATAGCGATAGCCGCGGTTAAATCGTTATTGCCGTATTAAGGATTTGGAACGGCGAACTTTGCCAGCCACTTTTTCGTTTCTCGATATTTAATATTTCATCGACGATTATTCGAATTCCCGCCCGACTTCCGTTACTTCGCGTGTTGGAGTACGAACGTTTCTCGTATATTTATATAAAATAAAATAAAAAGTGTGTGCGTGTAACCAGGCGGGGAAATATGTCGCTATTCACGATCAATTATCTCCCTATCTTCACCACGTCACGTTCAACTTTCAAATAACGTGCCGTTTAAATTTGCACAAAAGAGAGATGAAGGCGATGATAAGAATCGCAGTCTCTTCCACTATAAATTATACGATTAGCTTATCGATATCCACGGACAAGTCGCGTAAAAATGCTCGGATGGTTGATCGGCCATCTCGTTGCGAAAGTTTTTTTTTCCTTTTATGAGAACGTAAAAATTCACGTAACGATCATCGGTAATTAGAGTTAAAAGTTCCGATTTTTGAAGAAAATTGAAAAATGAAAAATAATTACTGTTCATTGATTGATTTAGCGTTATATTTATTATTATATTTTAAGCCGTTTAACGTGTTGCAATAAGTTTTTCATAGCGAGTCATTTATCCGTGTAACTGGTCGAGGCGGAACAGCTAACCGTGTCGTGAGGCTAGTTGCTACCGCATTGGGGTAAGTTTTTTTATTGGGAAATAAAAATTTTACGAAATACTTCATTTCATTTGATATAAAAACAATTATTGATTAGATCGTTTATATTCTATTAAGTAATAATTTAATAATTTTTTAATAATCTATAACTAAAAATAATTTGATGATAGTAATAATCTAATAATTATACATTGATAAATCAAAATAAAAAGTGTAAAGATTTAAAGATGTAAAAATATAAATTAGAGTGAAAAGGCAAAATTTAGAATTTCTAGATCGTTAGAATGACAGGAATAATTTATATATTTACAATGGAGGCAAATTGTTATGGTAAAATGCCCGAATCACGATAACAAGTAGCTTCCATTGACACGTGTAATTTGTAGGAATATTTTGCTTATTATATATTATGTATTTGTATTATAGAAATATTATATTGACTTATTATATATTATATTTTTTATTACAAATGGAAATGTGGAAGGCCACAAAATAGTAATCGAAAAATATTTACTTATTTAATACATGTTAAATTCTTATCATATTATTCACTTTTGCAGATAAAATAATAAAGTAGTGTGATCGACAACAATTGAAAGTACGACATCACCTATTTTTATTTTGAAATTTTTAAGTTCAAGTTTTAAGAGAAAAAATTATTTAACTAATTTTAAGAAAATAACTATTAAAAAATTATAATATTTCATTTTTTAATGATAAAAATTTAAGTATAGTTTCGAAAATTTTATTTAAAATGTTAACAATTTTATCTAGAAAAAAATCTAAAAAGAAAAAGATTATAAAAATATGCCATTTATATTCATTTTTGTCAATATTTAATACTTTTTCCAATCGATATCAAGTTGAATAAAGTGACGTTAAATTCAGTTATTATATTATATAGGCGACAAAACATTATAACTTTCA